ATGGTGCCACACCGCGTCGCGGTGGAGTGGGTTGCTACTCACCAGCGCGTCCACGAGGCCCAAGGCGCGTTCACACACCTCCTTCGAGTCGTGTTTCAAGAGCTCTAAGACCTGGGGCAGCTTGGGACTGGACTGCCAAAACTTCAAGGACCTCTTCGAATTCCTCATCCCCGCCTGTCTCCCCTTCCTTTTCCCAAACGTAACTATCTGCGATCCCAGCCACCACTGGCACCGGCTCTGACACCGTGACCTGTGGCCCCGGCGGCGCCGGCGCCGGCGGCGCCTCGTAGGGCGCGGCCACGGGCGTGGCGCCGGGCGCGGGGTCCAGCGGCGCTGGGCGTTGGGAGTCGATGCAGGTCACCGCCAACTTCCCTGCGACAGAGGACGCTACTAGTAACAAAGGGCACTGCTACTAGTAGCAAGTACGCTACTAGTGGCTCCTGGCATTACTAGTGACAAGAAGCTACCAGGAACAAAGGTAGTAGCTTGGAGGCCATTACTACTAGTAACAAGAAGCTACCAGTAACAAGTAAGCATACCGCCAACTTCCCTGCGACGAGAGACATGTGCACCGGGTGGGGGTTGGGGTTTTTGAACGGACGAGGAGCCGGCTCTGGAATGAGGGGTGTGCAGTAGCTACTGCTGGATTCTAGCCTCACAGAGTTCCAAAATATGTGTATATATAACTATATATACTTATATATAATATATACTTACAGTAATTTACTATATACCAGAGAGAGACAGGCGCTCAAGTCTGAGGTGACAAGAATCCACACATCACCCAACTGTTCAACATCGCTGACCCTCGAAGCAGAATCAAGGCACGGACGGCGGACGGGGACAGTCCGGGCAAATTCAAATGGTTGCGATCCTTGATCCTCCATGAGCGAGCGCACGATGGCCTCCAAATCTTGCATCTCCTAGCAAACAGCGATTTGGATGGGGTCCTTTTGGCAGCTCGGATGAGGCATAAGTAGTCAAGTGTGTCAACTTGCCATAGCCACCACGCTCAAAGTTTCTTGGAAGTCACCCAGTGGTGAGGTGTTGCAACCCGTTGTCCCCGCTTCTCCCAATGCCACCCAACATGCACCCGACACAATTTTTTTGGCTCTAAAGAGGACTGAAACTGCCGCACACCGACACAGTGCACACAAAACAGGACTTTCACCTCACCACCTCCCCTGTTTACTTAGTTTCGATGCACTCTTGATTCATGACACTCTTCCGAATCATTCTGAAATCAAATCACCAGAGAATCACAATAATTCAAGAAACCTTGGCCAACCAAACCATGTTAAATACCGCATGAACAACCGCATGATTGGCAGCTGCTGGAAGCATCTGTTACGATGTCCTTTATGCTTTTGATCTGCTCAGATTGGATGGCAGGCATGCGGATTTTAATGGACTCGATAATGCTCCGAAGGTTCCTCACAAACAGGGCAAACACGAAATCGTCGCGCGTGTCGCCCTTCAGAGCTACTATCGTGATCGGACATTGCTAGGGGCACCATGAAAAATCCATGAAAAACGCTCTAGGTATAACGGTATAACCTTCTGAATCGGAGTCACGCCAGTACATCCCCTATGCATCAAGGGCCCCACAAAATACATTGCAACCTTCATGGGCGATGAAACGCCTAAGACACCCAAAGCGCGAACGTCCTAGTTGTAACACATTAAAGCACGCATGGAACGGGTCAATGATCAATCGCTACGCAATGGCAACAGTCACTGCATGCAGGGTCTATAGACTGGTCTATAGCATCAGTCTTTCAATCATCTCTATCTCGCATGGTCAATGCCGGTGGGACCTCGTCGCGCTCTGTTCGACCTGGAGCCCAATGGTATCAGAACGCTGGAGGTTGGTGGGATCTTTATGACGCCGTCCGAGCCTAAGCGGCCTCTTCACCGAGTTTGCGTCACGTAACGAAACCCGACAAGTCCTTTCCAAACCATTCCATGGTGAATAGCGACGAACTATGAAACTGATCATGTCAATCATCCGTCTCTAAAGTTTGCAGCCAAGTTTGCAGCGTGTCATCTTCCTTTGGCGAGACTCAGGTTCGGGATGAGGGTGGTATGCGGCAGGCTCATGTTGGTCTTCGGGCTTGAGCGTTTCCCCAGCCTTACGTCGGAGCAATTGCATCAAATGCTGGAAGAAACTGCAGTTTCAAAAAATACAGTAAGATCCCCCTTAAAATTTAGGGGGTGACGTCAAGAATGGTATTCTGTAGTGGTGCATGGGTGCGAGGTACTACAATATGAAATGCTTGCCTGAATTCTCACTACAAAATGCTGGGCCCATGAACAGGCCAAACACACGCTTACTACAAAATCGAGGGCCATGACCTACGTGTATCCAAGGCCCAAGGCGCTCAAAAGCAAAAGTGCACTATGAAATGTTTTCCGTGACCTGCGTTTGAGTCATCAAGTCCAGTCTTGTTGGCAGAACCCGAGTGTCGGGGCAAACCCCCTAGCAACCGACAATCGGGATTCTTATCGGAAGACGCACATAGGTATTCTATGTGGCATCCGACCCCGCATATTTCTGGAAATCCAGTCGGTGCTCCCGGCATGTCTACACAATCAGGTCCTGATCAGGTATATAGCCCTTTTTGCCCAAATAGGCTATGGCGGCCAGCCGGCATTGTAGAAAATCAATGAAGATCACAGCATCAAATCTCTATCACAACTACAAAATGTAATGTCACTTGTCTGGCCTCCCCCCTTCCAAGACTACAAAATGCAGTGGCTGCAATGTATTTACTATACAATGCTGTGTCCAACGGTACCTTTTTCTTTAAAACAAAATTGTTTGCGACTATGAAATGTAAGGCCCTGACGTCCCTTTCCGGAAGGTCTGTGACTATTACAAAATGTTCTGTGCCAAGACCATCTAGTGTAAAATGGTCATTTCATATAGGCCTCAAGGCCTATCATTTCATAGTGGAAATTTTAATTAAGGATACAGTAAGAGTTTATGTAGTCATGCAAGAGAATAGTGAATTAGGTTTCAAGGGAACCTAATAGCGATGGCCTCCAACCTACAAGCGATGGACGGACTAGGTAACCAGCACCAGTCCCCTGTTGAGAAGCATGCTTGAATGCCTGCACTCTACCTGACTTGCCAAACCTGCCGGCGTACCTGCCATTGGTCTGCCTTGCTATCCGGAATGTTGAACATCCGCTTTCCCACCCAAACATCATCGGCTCACTTGTTCAGGTTGCATGGATCGATGATCGATCGCCGATGATCCAGTAGGTGAGCCGTGCATCTCCGGCCGAGGCACGCCAACCATTTCTGGATGAAGGCCCGCTCATAGGAATGGCCATCGGCGCAAACCACGGGGTCCTGCGCTGCCCAGGGTTGCTCGCTTTAAGCAAGGCAGAGTTGAAAAAGTAAAGGGCACACCCAAGTCAGAGAAAACACCGTGTCCGTAAACCGGCCAGGAACACAAACCAAACCTCAGCTCAATGACCCTGATTTGTTTAACAAAACAGGACGTTATACGGGTGAGTATTTTCCAGTGTTCTTGAACCCCCTTGTTGTTTGGACTTTGCATGCTGAAGGCGTTCAAACACACCCGCATAGCATCCCGCTCTCTTGTTTAAAGGATCTGATCCGGGTAATATTTCTGCATTCTGAAGATCGCAGAGTTCGCTGCAATGTTCCATGAGCGCCGCTCCTCCATAACTTGCTGTGAGATGGGGCAAATCGCATCCTTGGATCTGCAAGGTATAGGGGGATCCACAAGTCCTTCATCCAGTCGGATTAATGATTAATGTGCTCAACATGGCTCAACCACAACCACAAATTCTTGTGCACGTGTTCCCATTTGCCAGCAGGTTGTGTCATGGGCAGCCGGGTAGGTGCAAACATGTGCAAACCTGAGTAGATCCTACCTTGGCATCATGCGCACCGTCAAATTCACATATGGTGGAAGCAAATGGACACACTGATGGAAGCAAAACATGTCTGGCATTCTCCTCGGGTGCAACATGGTGGAAAACCACTAGGTACGGATCCAATCTGATCCATCTGATCCCCTATGATCAGCACAAAACAACAGCGGCTCGTCTTGCTTCACCAAGCGGCTTCGGGGATTGCTAAGAGCTCTCCAGGCATGGCTTGCAGGAACGCCATGGCTTCGCCCTTTGAAGAAAGCCGTTTGTTTCGTTTCAATAGGATATATTGCTTCAATTAGGAGAACCTGGCTCAAACAAGGAGCCCTTTTGTCAAGTGCTGGATGTTGTTGAGAGGTTGCCCAAGAATCATACTGTTTGAATTGGATTTGACCCGGTCCTGAGCGGGGTCACGGGGTGTTTGGGGTGACAAAAGAATCTCATGCGATAATTCTTGGGTTCTGGCTGGCATCTGCTGTGTGCTGGCACTTGCAACATGCACATTCAGTTAGATATACAGTTAAAATTATTGAACTATATATATATAGATAGATGATAGATATGTAAAACTTATCGAGCCCCCTCCCTGCCTTGTAATTAGAAAGAACCCCTTTCTTGATGGAGTCTGCTTTAATCCGATTACCTGGTTCACGATTCGAGGCCAAATCCACCAGGGCCACGGTCCTCCCCCGGCAGCCATCGAACGTATCTTAAGTACGGGGTGGCAGCCGACAATGAACGAACACCCTTGTACCTCCAAAAACAACATTAGAATCATGTGGCATACGGAAATGAATTGATCACTCTCTCGGTGTGGGCTGTTCCACAACTTGTTCCACACTTCGAGTAGCAGTAAGTTAAGTTTCGGAAGTCCTGTGACAAACTGCATCCGGAGGCCCCCTCAAGAATCCACCTTTCAAGGAAAAATACGCGAGTCAAATGAGACCTCAAGAGCAATAGAAACAAAGCAATGTAATCGGCTTGTCGTCTTACTCCAAAGGATCCCAACAAAAGTGTGTTTGTTCTCCGCAGCTAGCCACTTCGCCGGCAAAAGCACACGCCTGCCCTCGCGTGAAACGGCGCGTGTGAGCCTCTCCCACAGGCGATTCCACTTGTCATAGGCGTCTTGTCCAAACAGCAAAGCCTAGGAACAAAGCCAAAGACTAGTCAAGGGCTTGATGGCCACTTGAGTGAAAGGAACGGTGCCTTGAAGTCGTAAGTGCTCTATTGGAGGCACTGTGAACTTGAATAGGCCAAGACCTTAAGAAGGAATGAGGTGTTTGTCCGACACGTGCCCCTGCCATTGATGCCAAAAGGTCAGCATGAACAAGACTTAGGGGATTGTATACCCCTGGGCAATCCTGGAGAACTATAGTAATATAGTATTGTCTTACACCTGGTCTGCCTTCAAGAACAACAAGCAACTAGTGGCACTTTATATATGGAATCGCTCAAATCTCCCACATTCCAAAGCGGGCAATATGGCCAGCGCCTACAAAACAACCCGTGTCAACGTCGCCCTGAACTCGCATCCCTCCAGCCAACCCTCATCTGAGTAGAATAGGGAACGATTGTGCCGTCCTCCCGTGTGGCCCTGAAGCCCTCATGTCTGGAAAGCGTAACTCAAATCTGCGGCCCCCTCAAGGAAGCAAACCGACGTAGAACAGGGACCGGTGCGAGCTGAATGCGCCAAGAAGCCAACGCGGCCCCCACGCCGTGTGGTGCTATTTCATCTTTGCCTACCACGTAAGCAGGTGCCAACGTTGGAAATCGCTCGGGCTCTGAAACAGCTCGGCCAAATGTCATTGACTGAAGCATGCTGAACACCACCATGTGCTGCATATACTCATGTCGTGAAACTTGACCAGTCTTAACCATGGTGAGTGGGCGGATTGTTGGACCCTTCGTTCTTTAACCTCCTTTAAAGGCATGGCCATGGCATGGTATGGCCAGTGACTTGGTTTCCAATCCCTGCAATATCCTGTAATATCCTGTAATCATATTTAGAATCATGTTAGCAAACAAGCACCATCAGCTATAAAGTAGTTTGCCGTTTCCCCATGGACGACCTAACCGTCATGCCTCCAAACACTCCTCCAACCGAGCTGCCCCACTCCGCCTTGTCGCACCTGGTCGAATGCTTTCCGCGCGGCCTGCAGCTGCGACGTGGTAAAGCCTGGCTGCACAACTGTCACGTGTGGATGGCAGGCGTTTCACTTGGAGTTCATGGAGCCGAGTCAGGTCCAGAACTCGGATTCAAAGAAAAAGAAAGCTCGTCCATTTTTGCCAACAGAATATAACTAACGACAGTGAAGCTGCACCAGTTTGCCAGCTGTCAGTGGAGTAGGATACACCGGACCTGGCTTTAGCCATGTGAGGGAGGTCTTCTGGCAAAACTATGAGACCAAGAGCTGGTGGACACCATAGTGTTGATTGGCCTGGATACTGGATGCTTGTTCTTCGACTTTGTGGAAGCAACCGAGAGCCAAACCTACCCAGGTCGAAGGCGGCAGCTATGCCTTGGCCTTGCCTGGCCTTGACCCAAGGCATCACGTACCGAATAGATCCGAATACCCCTGAATAGCCCTGAGTTCCAAGGAGAGATCGAGAGCTAGATGTGTTCCACCTGTACCGAGGGCTGTGCCTTGTGCGAACGGCCACTGAACTTGACATACTGACCTACAAACAAGCCTAGAAGCCGCAGAAGCCTAGAAGCCGCACCACTGCACCCATGCAGTTCACGCTCCAATGGCTTGGAAACCAGGCCCATACACAATCCCCTACCCTACCCCATGGTTGAAGTGTTTGAAAGGAGGAGGTCCTAACTTCCTCCACATCCCGTTCTCCACCACTCATCCGTATCCACTTCGCTGTCGTGTCTCCGATGGTCTCGCGCCTTCGGAGGAGCGGTGCACCGCCAAGAAGCGGAAGATCTGCGGCAGCGTCAGGGACTGGGCGGCTTGGGCGCTTGGGGCGGTCTCCGCCGATGGGGTTGGCATCGGATGGGTGATGGTTCTGGTCGTTCTGAGTAGGCTGAAAAGGGTTGAATGAGTGGAGAATTTAGGGGGATAAGGCCGGAACTGGGGAACGTGCAAAGGATGGAGGAAGGCTGGAATGGATAGGGGTAAAATCAGGATGAGAATTGTTTGGAGAGGACGAACGTTTTGCACAATGCACTTTGCCTCCCAGGACAGAACCACGTCTTCAACCAGGTTGGATCCACCCTAAATTACCAAATCTCCAACAAAGTGATCAACGTACGTGGTGTGCCAATGGCGTGGGTTGAACTACGAGAAGTCCACAGGACAGCACTGGGTATCTGCACGACTAAGGGACCTTTTTTTCGTCAATCCCCTCTACCGCGACAGTATGTTTAAGAATCGGGTAATTGACTTGGAGCTTCTCACTCACCACATTCTTGTGATTGCACAACAGCGGCCGGTATACCGTGTCACTGTGGTAGCTCCAGGCCAGCTTTTTTCTGCAATCATGCATGGGTCCGATATGTGAAGTAAGCATGTTGACCGGGCTTGCGAAAAGCAGCCTCATTTGCTCACAGCGCTGCTTGGAAAACACATTCACTTCAGTGTCCCCCAAAAAAAGAAACATGTTTCTTACTGTAATCACATCACGCTTGTTCGCTGATTGTCTTTGTCACGTTTTTGCAACAATGTGATATATATAATCATCCTGGAGTAGATAGAATCTACTTTCTTAGGGGGTGGTTTTCTTCTTGAAAAAACTCGGGGTTTTTGACATGCCTTTCATTTTATGAAGACTGACCCTATAGCCTATAGATAGAATATAGTGATAAGATTCTTATCAACTCCTCCCATTCCGGTATTTGCTCCTTTGTTATTTTCATGTTCTGTTCCTATGTGTATTATCTAAGCTTTCCTTTCCTTTTTCTTTTCTTTAGACGAACAGAAAATAGAACGAACAGAGAAGGAAAAGGACAACAAAGGAAAAGGAAGAAAAGCCCCTACAACCATATTCTATCTATGGGGTTTTGAGGAGTGAATTGTTTTTTGAAAATTTGTCCATTCTATCTACTCCAGGATGATTATATATATATATATAATCTCACCAAAACTGCTCATCTGTGACTTTCTTCGGGTTGCTGGAGTTTGCTCGCACAAATCCAGACTGAACTGAAATAACAACTCGCAGCAAAACCGTACAGTCCTAACCCAGCACTGCGATTGGTTCCACAACTTTGGTGCTCAGAAGGTCCAAAGGAGAAACGTGACAACTTTGGTGACCCGGGGCCCGTCATGTCTTCTGCGCACACCTTCATGGTCATCCGGCTCGCGGTCAAGGTCTCGAAGACCGAACGCTGGAGCGACGTGAAGCCTCAGGAGCGGGTAGAGCGACCGCTGGTGGTGGTAGAGAGGGGCAAGTGAACACATGCCACTGGTAGAAAAGGCATGGAGTCACACCCAAGTTCCATACCTATATACAAGCTTGTTCGGGCCGCATTTTCGGCGCCTAGCGGGCTGCTTCCCGAAAATCAGAGTGGGAAAGCCTGATGCGTTCCAGACTGAGGGTTCCGTCTGCCTTCTCTTATCTTGCTTGCAATGGCTGCCACACCAAACTGCTGCGTGTTATTGCAATGTTTGGCATTGTTTGCACGTAGTAGCTGTTAGGATCAGTATCAGGAGCTATATTAAAACACTGGCTTCATGTCAGTTAAGCAAAACAGAAACACACGGTAACACACGTGTTATTTTGGGCAAGACCAGGCAACAAACACATCGGAAAATGATCCGGGCAAACATCGCGAAGTTGCGCAAAATATCACAGCAAACGGGCGAAACTTTCCACCTGTTTTGATTGATTTCACCTTGGGCTGTTTCTTGTGTATGCATGCTATAGCAGCTATAGAACTGTGCATGCACAACGCATAGTCTGCAAGCATCCCTCAAATGTCTCAAAGTGTTCGGCTGAAGTGGCTGAAGGATGCTAGGCCGGTGGTACTAGATTTATGAGTTTTCTCAGCCAAGGCTTGGTCCTCTGCACCCCCAGAAGAGGAATGAAAAACATCGATGTAGGATGATGTTGAGAAATTGAACAAAAACTGCTGCCTATTTACAGTAATCTATTTATTTGTATGGAATTTTGTACAGATGGAGATTTTTGGTTCGGGCCAAACTTCAGGAATAATAGAATTTTATAGCCTTCAGGATCTCCAAAGTATACCGCTGCTTTGGGAAGACCTAGGCAAGAGTGGTTCGAAAGTCGCTTCCAAGCTTGCTTGTTCAGCGTCGTTCATCTACCTTCAACCGCTGGGCACAATCCTTTAAAAAGCCATTCGATTAACAATGTTCGAATATGTTCGGGAGAACTCCCACATCCCTGTGTGAATGTCAAAGAATGTCTCTCCCGCAGGACATGTCCACCACACTCTGCTATGTCTTGGGGTTCAGCATTCTGAACCATTCCAAACTTATTCAGGGGGACACTTGCTTTTTGTCCAAGTTGCATGGTGAAAACAGTGGTGACAAAAACTGCCAAAGAATCACAACTAAAAGTAGCTACGACAATTGATGGAAAAGATCAATCACAATCCCAAGACTTGCTTTATTGGGACCTCCAGTTCCTACGCACAATCTTGAGGGCTTAAAGCCATCAAGATGTGGGTGCAGTGCATAAGGACTTGGATCGATCGTTGGGAAGGATTGTTAGTTGCTTGGAGAATGCAGCCGTGGAAAAGAGCAGTTGATGGCTGCCTCATGTGGTCTAAGCCAGCAATAACGCCCTACAAGACATGCGGGCTGCTTGACATTCCCCATCATCTCCCTTTTGGCCAAGCAACCTACTTCATGCAGAAAAGGTAAGAGCACCTTTTGCGGAACCTGATGCTGCGTCACGATCAATCTGCACGCCGCAAAGTGACACGCACAGTCCAAAGCCACTGGTTTTGGAAACCACTCTTCCATAGGCCCATTTTCAGGGTGCATGGTAGTTTTAGGACGTGAACTGTGAACATGCTCGAATGAAGAAACACGGCCAAGTGTGCTTGAAAAGAAATCATCCCCGCGTGAAAATACATTCTCTCAAGATTGCGGGGAGGTGTGCAATTACTATCCACAAAATACAGGGCTCCCTGCTAGTCTTCCCGTCCCACCTTTTGGTGGGGTCATCCACTATGGAACGCCCGCGCTAGCAAAATTCGGGCTGCAAATGAACATCGTCAAACTGCAACACATGACTGACTATGGAAAAACTTTAACTACAATGGGCCAATAGTAAGGAGTGCTCAATCCCCAGGTGACCAGCCTTTGAGTGCTTGGAATGGCGCTGGAACGCCTCTTTGATGTCGGCCTGGCATCCACCAACCATGCGTTATGCGTACAACACCATACCTTCAAAGGTCTTTGAAGCCTCTTCTCCGTGTGGAGTGAGCTTCCGTCGGCCTCTGAAGGTCTTGCAAAAACAAAGAACACTCTGAACACTCGAACAAAGTGTGAAAAGGACATGATGAGAAATCAACATGCCTGTATTTCAAATATATATATATATAATCCCCGTTGCTACCGATAATAGAGGTTAAGCACACTCATCATTCAAACATTGTCAATATAAAATGGGTTACGGTTATAATAGGTCAGAGGTGTTTCAAGTCATTAAGTTGTGCCGAAGGTGTTTCTTATACTAGATGATTCATTTAAATTACAAGACTTGAGCGTGCTTAACCACACCCATTTTTGATCGTCGGTAGCAACGGGGATTTATAACTAAACTGTTCTCTGAACGCTGACGGGTGTTGTTTGAAAAGGTTTCATATCATGGAGCGGGATCCAAGCATTGCTTTTGCTGCGTGTTCACTATTCTGATCCTCAATCTAAGCATGTCCGACCAACATCCCCGCGTGGATGACAGTCAACCAGGCGGAGTGCCAGTGCTTCACACATCAGACTCGACTTCTTGAGAATCACCATGAATCACCATCAACAGCTGTTAAACTTGTTCAAACATGCTTGGCTGTATCACTCAATGTGTACCCGATATCTTCAACCCCCAACCACTTTGCTACTACACCTCTCCAAACCACCGCTTTGGTAGGCGCGCCAGCTCTTGCTGCGCATACTTCTCGAGGAAGCTGGTGAACTCTGCCAGGTTCATTGCAGAGTACTCGGTCCTTGGAGCCGTTTGCTCCGTTGGCCGAGTCTGTCGCAAAGGATCGCCGAATGAAAGGTCGCAGGCACCGGATGTTCGACGAAGGGCCTTCCAATCCGCTGTCACGATGTAACGACTTTAAGGGCCTCCCGGTGGCGTCATAATTTGAGGCGAGCCTACAAACACACTAAAAAAGCTTCAGAAGGGCAACAAAGACCAGGTATGTTTCAGCCACCTGTGACTACACTAGCTAGTAGCACCATTCAATCAGAATAGGGCACTGCGGATTCTCACCTTCTCTTGCGTGAAGCAAAACCTGCCTAAGGTGCAAGTCAAGTAATGACTAATTCGTCACTGATGAGTAGTATCGGGTTAGTAGTAACATCCTTCAGGGCCACATCAGTCTGTAAGAATTCCAAACCTGATTTGAAAAACAAATTGAATGCAAAACCCTTGATCAAGAATCACCTGCCGTGTGAGATACTTTGCGCAATAGATAACGAAACAATACGTGACATAGTGATTCGGACGAAGTGAACACGGCTGTCACATTCTCAGCTAATGACACTTCCTTGGCTCGCTCGTCCACTACCTGACGAGAGATGACAGGACAAGCAAGAGGCCCGAACAAGCGTCCTCAGCCCAGCGGTGTTTGGCTCAAACACATGAACACCAGCTGTGAGCGTCCTCAAAGCATCTTCCCTGCTAGTAGCGTGTTCTGTGCGCCAACAGAGTTTGAAGATAGACAAGCTACCGTGGGTGGGCAACGCAAACCCCCCCGACAGCGGAGTGGAACTTCTTGTTCTTAATAAGCAACTCATGAAAGCTGGAGATTTCGCCATATGTCATGTTGGTATATATATATACACATACATATGTGATTCGTCGACTGTAGCCGCGAGTGATGCAAATCTATGCGAACAAAGTTGAAACACCAATGATTTGCTGTCTGCCCCTGTTTCCGGTGCAAGTCGTGACGGTCATGAATCACCATGAATCAAGAATCCACAGCTTGCGGTACCTATTGCCTGATAATTCACCCCGATGATTGAGACAGTGACAAGGCAACCAAAGCAACCAACGCGCACACACACAAACTAATTAAATATGAACATATATGAACCAAATCTTCCTCATGAGGGCGAACCTATCGAGCCACGGGCAGAAAAGAATTGATCGCGACGAGTCTTGTGCCATGAAACACACAGGCGAACTGATGTCAGTGTCAGTGTGTGCCCTCTATAGTGCCAAACAACTCATTCAAACGAATCCAAGTCTTCGTTGGCCGTACTTCCCCGTTGTTGGCCTTCGTGCTCTCCCCGGAACGGTCGGAACGGTCGACCGGAGTTGGCGCCAGGCGCCTCGGGAACGATCGCGAAGTAGCCCAAGTGCTGAACAGCCATCGTCAAGTCCTGCAGGAAAAGCACAAAAAGTTGGGAAAGTCCAGGGTGAAGCGTCTGGTTTCTTTGGATTGATAGAACCTGAAACAGGGGGCTGGCATTTGGCCAAGATTGTTCACGGCACATGGAATCATGCGCCATTCTTTTAAGCATATTCCACATGCAATCCTTGGTTCATCATATTGGCTCTTGTGGCAAAGTAGCTCTTGGCGATCGAAAGCTTGGGCTTGTTGGGGCAGACCCATCTCATTCTGCAGCTACCCCTCGGGTTTGCCCCATCTCTACCTGTTGAGAAGACGATCTGGTCAAAAGAAGCACGTCATGAACCCTAGTATTTTAGGCTGCTGAATGCACATCTTGCCTGTGTCCAGTCTTGTCTTGCCAAAAGACTTATTTTTCTGCTTCAGGCATTTATACAAAGCGGCTCTGAGCGTCGCCAGCTATTCACAACGACTTTCTTTGTGTAAGCCTCTATTGTAAGACACCTGTCAAAAGAGTGAGGTTGACCAAAAGCAACTGCCCGATGACCCCCGATGACTCGCATATTGTAACCCTTGCTGTGTGAGTCGAATGCATGCCAAGCAAGCCTTCGTCTGTGTAGCATTCTTGACCACGTCTGAACTGCCGCCACTTTTGTCGCCCACAAGTTGCGTAGCTGCACATTGTGTGCATCCCGCATGGGGCTGGATGATGCATCCCACCGCTCTTTGTTGAACTTAACTGTCTCCCTTTAAATTTGCTGTTGGTGAGGTCTTCTATGCTTTCCACATCAACTGTTGACGAATGACATCATGTACCACGTGGATAAATGATCGGCACCACTTCCCAAAAGCGTATATTGTATATAATTATGCATTATAAATGTATAAATTAAAACCACTATTGAATCTAGCGCACCCTCAAGATTTACTCTATTTGACTCGATCCATGATGTGATTTGCATCATCCTTCGTTCCTCATCCGGGCCTTGTGAGTCTGAGCTAGGACTGGCTCGCCCCTTTGATTGGCATTGGAATCATGAGGGAATCGTTGTCCATCTGAGGAGGTGCTTTTTCGAATGGAAACCGTTCTCCAGTTCAATCTCACACAGCCAGGAGCATCGCTTTCCTGCATCCTCCTATTCATGCCATGAACAAGGAATGAATGGGAACTGGAAAGGCTTCAATTGTGGTTTCTGACTGTGATTGAACACGGACGCGCACGGGCTTCATCTCAAAACCAGGAATGTGGCGAAAAATGCGAACATGAACAATCGAACAATGAACTGGGTTCGCAGTTCGCACCAGCTAGTTTCTGTTGTTCTTTTTTGTAGGGGTCCTTCAAAGCAATGCGGGTCACATCTTAAACCACTTGTGGACCGGTCAAACTACCATGATTTCAGCGAGTATGGTGCGATGATTTGGAGTGTTTGGCATCGACACGCTGCATACAGCTGCATACCCATGCCCAAGTGGTGGCCATCTACTTCGATCGCTCAGGACCTACTGCAACGACCGGAGCGCTGCGGTCGGGACCCGATACCGCCGACCAGGTGAGACCACGAGAGACGACCCAGGTGAACCTGAGGTCAGGAATGGGTAGCGCTTGGCTTGTTGGGAGACTGGTGGTAGAACTTGAAACAGGCAGGCCATAGTCTGCCGAAGCCTCTTCTGACCTCAGACTTCCTGAAAAGAAGCAAAGCAGTTTGGCTAGGGCTATGCTTTCCGATCGCTTTGCGAAGTGGCAATCAGCCACGTTGCTGATCTCATCCAAAATGACAAACCCAGCGCGTGACGGTCATCCCACTTGGAAAACAGCACAAGGATCGCCAGGGGGGCCTCTGGCTTACTGACATAAGTGATCATCCCTAGAAGCCAATCACTGCGATGCCCTGAAATTCAGCAAACATCTCCTGGCCTATTCAAGACAAACTTTCCACAACCGACCAAACTCACCTGCTCGAATCTACCTGCTGTTCTTCTTACTGTATGTCAGTTTGATCGTGTCTATTGGACATGAGAGGCAAGTCCAGCCAAACTGACCTCCAATCTTACCGGCCTCGCTTTCTGCTCTGGTTTGGATTTCTCAGCTGTTTCTCATAGAAGCTTTGGTCGAACTTTGGAGCGCCCACAAGTTGGACCTCAAAACCAGCGCTTCGGTGGTACAACCACAGAAGTGGACCAAGTGAAACCATTGAATGCTGGAACCCGTTGAAGCCCTACAATTCCAACTTGTAGGAGTGGGATGGAGTGGGTCTCTCTGCTTGGAAGACCGCCTTCCTCTACCTGTCTTTTTGGGTTTCCGAGGACAATGGACCGTGGGAGGGCCAACAGAAATGGCATCACCGCACCGCTGCACCTCCAAAATGGTAGGAACTGGCTGCGTTGCGAACTGGGTTTTGATAGCACAGAAATCACACAAACCCAGCAGCACTCGTCACACCAAACCAATGTTCAAGCATTTTTGTCTTTAGAGTTTTCTCACTGGGTTGTCTTTGGAGTAATCGCTCAGTTGGGGAATCCTAGGGACGTGTTCTTCTAACGGGCAGCTTTGCAAAACCCGAAACTATCCGAAACTACAAACAACCGACCGCTTCCCCGAACAGCTTCCCTGCCAAAGGGCTTTGAGCACGTTTTCCGGCTTGTCTTCGATCTTGCATCCGATGAACCTGGTGACAAAACACTCCGGTGGGCGGTGATATGTGGTGACCATCCACTTCACAAAGTGCGCGGCGTTTGCAAAACTTCTTCGATCTCCTTCGGCAATCCAAAGAAGATCCGAAAGGCTAGGCAAAGCAAGTCGCTTGGGAGTGGCAATGAGATAAACTTGATCGATCTGCGTGCCAAAGACCTTTTCCCCACTTGCCGGCTTTAGATTCTGGAGAACTACCAAGAACATGGAATTACATTATCACGGTGTTCTAGCCAGATCTACATGCGCGTGCCATGGCGATACCCGAACATCCGGTGAAGCAAACCATCAGTTCCGCTGAAAATGACGAAGCTCCGACATGCCAAATGGATGCCGAGCCTGACCTCAATCTCTGATCTCACTCTTTTTCCTTCGGCACGGTGGCCCAAGCTCTGGCCCTGTCAATATGCCCTTGTGGTAATGCGGTCAAGGAACTCAAACGCAATCTTCAGAGTCTTGGTCGGAGCGCTCAACCTAAGAAATTTGCAGAAAAAAAAGTAGAAACCCCGTCCCAAATCCAGCCACTAACAAATTGAGGTTGATGCGACCGGAAATCAAACAAGTCACTTTGCACTAGTGTGACGTTCACCGTCTTTGTGGCCACTTTTTGCACATGAGCAACATGCATACATCCGACAGCATCCGCGGAACCTGTGCTTGGATGGTATCCCAACCGGTAGATGAACTGGGCACCGAAATTGGAGCATCAGGTTCTAACAATCTTTAAGGCCCCCAGTTGGTCAACAGCGAGCCGAATTCCATCCGAATTCGTACAGCAAGTGGCTCATCCTGCACGCTCTTGGTCACATTCATCCAAAGCTCTGGAGTAAGGTGCCTAAGCTCAGGGTCGCTCGAAGGGCGAGCAGAAAAGAACTTCCGGTCGGAAAGCCGTGTTCTTTTCAGGGTTCCCTTCCGCATGGATTTCCGCGGCCTCGTCATTCAACAGCGGGGTTCCATCCTGAAGATGGTCAGTCAGGTCAAATCAGTCTCTGCATGACAGAGCTCAGCACACTGCGACCTTCTAGTGGAAGCCGTTTCTTCATATTCAAAGTCATCTGAATCTGTGTCTCTTCAGAGTTGTGGTCCCTGGTGCATGTCCCCACAGCAATTCATATGAAGGCCTGTGCCTAGGTGCTGAATTCATTTAATCATGCGTGCGTGTGTGTGTGTGTGTGTGTGTGTCTCACACTCTGTATCTAAGAGTCTGTCACCACCACTTTCTCATTCAAGCAGGGGGGCAAGGCCTCCAGCGATGAACCTTGTCCAACGAAGCTAAATCGCTGGAGGGGAAGCGAATGGAGACGTCCATTCATGCACCTGCAACCGGAACGTTTGCTCAAGCTGTGACTCCACTTTCCACGCTTTGGTTCATGGTCCTTCATGATACTTCCCCAAAACAGGTTTCCCTCCGCAGCTTTCCACCGTTGCTGAGCGCTTCTGCAGTCAAGTGTGAAACTCTTTTGTTCAAAGAACTACAATTTTCTTGGACTCTTCGCCATGCGGTTCTCTCGCCTTTTTTCCACTTGGGAATTGAGTTACAGTAACTGAAAACCAATGTCAGAGTGTGTGTCCCAGTGTGTGGGGGGGGGTCGTGATGAGGTGGATTATGGCCTGGGGGGGCCTTGAGATGTCTGGAGAAAGGTGCCAGGAACGATAATAAATTACAGATAATGTAACATAAGATGAATATATATTATATGTTACAGTATATAATACTATACGCTTTCTCATGCTCAAATGAACTTCCTAACAGTCATTCGCAAATCCCCGCCAGCTGTTCCGTTCCGCATCCTTCACGGCATCCCCTTCCCCCCATCTCCACCGGGCAACAATGCCCAAATGATGGTAGCACACAGCGTTCTGCCTTGGGAGGCGGGATCTGGTTCAACCCAGCACCTGGTGAACATCTGAAGAATACCTGCAAATGTGTCCAGCAACTTCTTGGGTCCTGCATGTCTGGGTGTTGGCAACGCACATGCAGGACCATGACCCCCAGGACCATGACCCAAAGAACTAGAAGAAAGCATCATGCTATGTTGATTTGTTTCGAGCTACCCGACCAAGTCTTTTTTGGGGAGAGGCCCTTGTCACAAGTACATGGCTGGGACCAGTGGGCACAACAGGTGATGCTCTGCAGCGAAGGTCTGGCAATAGTTGTGCAACTCTAACAGTAGCGATCTGGCGCACCCCTGACATCCTTTGGATCCCTTTTGGCACATTGTACTAGTATGTGGGGACAGTCAACACAGTTCGAAGGAGTGAATGTTCAAAATCTAGCCACTCCAATCCTGCCGGGCAGGGTTGCAAGCCACCCACCCCACGTCAACTGAGGTGAGCATCTT